TTAGAATGGTAGGGGCTGGAGAGATGGCTCATCAGTAAAGCCGAGGACCCAGGTTCGATTCCTAGCACCCACATTACAGTTCACAAGAGTCTGAATCTCCAGTCCTAGGGGATCCAGTGCTCTCCAGAGACACAGACTTACATTCTGGCAAAACACCAGACACATAAAATAAAATAATGATAATAATTTAAAAAATTTAAAAAAAGGTAGGCAGGGAGGCTGAGATGTCCTGCGAGAAGCATACAGAGCTGACATTTTTACAATTATATTATAATTGAAAATAAATCCATAAATGAATATTATTTTAGCAATATTTTAAATGTTTATAAAGTCACATATTAAACATGCTAAATCTTGTGAAAATTAGAAAGGATGTTGACTTAAGATCCAGCTATGCAAACAGAGAGACACCTTGGCATACATTACACACCAAACTCTAAGGACTTCAAGCAAGCCCTTCAAATGGAGGGAGCGCTCTGCCGAGGATTTCTTCAGAGCCAAGCGAGGGGACTGCGAATGGTTCTGTTTTGTTGTAACAGCAACATGAACTACACTGGCTGTCTCCTGCTACACTCTACTCCCCAAGGAGCTCATCTGTTAATGACTGTAAATAAACCTCTGCTCATTAGCCCTTACCTACATACACTTTTAGGACAAAAGTGCCCCAAGTATCTGATCAACCTCAGTCAACAGACATGTAACTGGAAGTCCATTACAGGATCGGCAGAGGGGATGGCCTGAGTGTCTTCATCCTGGCCAAGTCACAGAAAGTCCAGCAAATAATGTGCTATAAGAACTTAAAAAAAAGTTGTTTCGTTTTGTTTGTTTACTTTCTGAGATAGAGCCTCTCTATGTAGCCCTGGCTGTCCTGGAACTTGCCATGTAGACGAAGCTGGCCTGGAACTCACAGAGATCCACTTGCCTCTATTTCCAGAATGCTGGGATTAAAGGTGTGTGCCACCTCATTTGGCAAGATTTACTTGTAGTATTGTAGTATGCCACTTGTAAGCAGGAGCCTATGGAGGCCAGAAGAAGGCACTGGATCACCTGAGAGCTGTGAGCTGCCATGTGGGTGCTGGGAATCGAACCTAATACTTCATAAAGAACAGTCAGTGAACTTAACCACTGAGCTCTTTCCAGGCCCCAGTAAGAATATTTCATTTGTCCATTTTAGTCTTTACTAGACAGAGTCTAGCTATATAGCTCTAGATGGCCTGGAATTCTCTGTGTTTGACCAGGTTGGACTTGAATTTGCAAAGATCTTCTATGTGTTGGGATTACTGGCATGTGTTATCACACTTGGCTTTAATTTAAATTTAAAAAACAAAAAATGAAGTTATGTGGTCCTTATCCCTAGAAGAACTTAAATGGGCTGGATACTGTTACAGGCATTCAAGCATCAGGTGAGTGGGACAGGGAACCAGAAGGCTTTTGAGGTCTCTTCTAATTATGACAATTTCTTTTATTATTATAGTTATCATTAATTTTTTGAGATGGGGTCTCATGTAACCCAGGCTAGTTCCAAACTTGCTACATAGCCAAGAATGACCTTGAACTCTTGTACCTTATGTCTTCATCTCCCAAGTGCTGGAATTACAGCTATGTGCAATCAACCAGGCTGACAAGCTACAGCTCTGTGAATATTATCAAGTCATACTTGACTGACTTTATACATTGTGGCATAATTCCTACATTTTATGCAACCTGAGAATTAAAGATAGATTGAGAGGCAGAAAAGTTATAAGTTAAGCAAACAAACTAAGAGTATGTGCTTAGAGATGTCAAGCTTCTGCTTCATCTATTCAACAGGGTTCAGCATGTGCCTATTAAGCAGGGAGGCACCCATCAAACCCCTGTTTGTTAAATCAGAAGAGAAAATGTTCATGCTTTCTCCCATCCTCCTCCATGAGACCTGGTCTAGTAAGCTGATTTTCACTTAAGAGTGTCGGACTTCAGGGCTGGAGAGGTAACTTGGTGGTTAAGAGCACTGGCTGCTCATCCAGAGGACTTAGGTTCAATTCCCAGCAACCACATGGCGGCTCACAACCATTTGTAACTCCAGTTCCAGGGGATCTGATGCTCTTTTCTGGCACCTGAGGGCACTAGACATGAATGTGGTATATTAAAATACATATGGGCAAACACCCATACACATAAAATTAAAAAAATGCCTAGGACTTCTTACATCAGATCCTTCCCTGCCAATACAGTAAGGGGTGGGAGGGGTCGGCTGGCAAGGTGGGAGGTCATTATCTCCCAGACTGTTAGTCAGTGTATGGCCATTTAATACAGCGTGCGCCAGAACAACAGAAGCTTATCCTCTCACTTAGCTTTCTGATTAGTGTCCTAGCTTCTCACATGTGCTCCTGGGGTCTCAGGGAGGAAATGTGACGGATGAGGAGAGGTGAGGCAGACCACTGAGGATCTTCCCTAATCGGTCAACCTTTCACCCTTGAGTCCAGTGAGAAAATCTCTGCCTATTAATATTACAGCAATCTGTAAACGATGATCATGATAGGGTCCTGAGGAAACATTTAGATGTGAAATACAAATTATGATTTCAATAGCTACTACCAATGAGAGAGGAGGTTTTTGGTGAGCTTCCCTCAGAAAGCCCACCTCCCTTCTTGGGAGTGCCAGCTCTATTGCTATTCTGCATCTAACTTAGAAGACATCAATTTCCTACATCTCTCCTCCTGGTGGCTGCCAGGATGTTCACCTAACCTGTTTTTCTCTGAAATTCTATAAAACTGTCCTCGAGCTTTCTATGGGGAAAAAAAAATGAAAGAGGAAACAATCTCATGAAGTCTATCATAATATATAAAAAGGAAGAAAATTACTTTGAGAAATACTATATTTTTTCATGTATATTTAGAGTTCTCAGCTCAGTGTCACAGTAGGTCCACAATTAGCCATCGGCCCTGGGGCAACTGAGGCCAGCCAGCCTGGACTATCTATTGAGACAGGAAGAATTCACACAAACACAACCAGGAAACATGTGTCCATGGCCCTTATCTCTTTTTGCCTGTTCTGAGACAATCTCATTAAGTTACCCAGGCTGGTCCTGAACTGCCAATCCTCCTGCCTCAGCTGGAGGACTAAGTGGGAGTCCAGGCCTGCACTAGGTGGAAAACACTGTGATCCCATAGTGAACCATTTCATGAGCTCCCAAGCTTTTCCCAGCTTCCAGAGAGGTACACAATGAGTCAAGACTCATTCTCTTTCTTGTCCAGAGGGTCAAGAATGTCCTTCCAGTTTTCACCTCTTCTTCAGGCCAGAGCTTCTCAACTATAACTGAGGAATACGGAGAACTGTGCAACTACCAAAATACTTCACCACAGATGTCAGACAGCTTGCCTTTTGTTTGTTTGAGACAGGGTCTCTATTAAGTCCTGCTATGTAGACCAGGCTGGCCTTGAACTCACAGAGAGCTGCCTGCCCCTGCCTCTCAAGCGCTGGGATTAAAGGCATATGCCACCATGCCCAGTGAGACAGCTTGATCTTAATTAAAAAAAATTGTATGTGTATGGGTGTATGTATATCACCTGTGTGCCCCATGTCCCTGGGGACCAGAAGAGGGCTTCAGAGCCCCCAGAACTAGAGTTACAGAGGGTTGTGAGCCACCATCTAGAAGCTGGGAACTATGGTCCTCTGGGAGCATTAGCATGTGCTCTTAACCTGAGTCAGCTTTCCAACCTTGGGTAGCTTGGTTTTATAAGAGGAACACCGTTTCAAATATGAACATCTCATCCCCTCCTACAGGATGGATCAGAAGCAGGGATGAAGTGAAATTAGTCAGAAATAACTATGCATTGTAGTACCTGATGCCTAAGATTTAGAACTAAGAGACCAGCAACCGGGTGCTGCAAGGCCTGAGTACGGTATGCAAAGCACACATTACAGAAGTTGGCTTTTTAAAAATGTTAATTGCTTTTCCTATTATTTTTGTAAGCTAAGCATCGAATCTTGAAAGTACTTCTGAACCCATGTAACAGACCAGCAAAGGGGTGGTCACTGGCAATCACACGATCAACACTGTTGAGTTTCGTTTCTACAACGGTCCGTTGTATCATCTGGATTTGTATAGCGGCTAATAGCCACAGGTGGTGTGCAGTGAGGATGAAGGTATGCTGTGAGCGTAAAATGCACAACCGACCTGTAAAACTTAGTATAAAAAATACACTATCTCATTTAAATATCTGATTTTTTTTAAAAAAAATGTTGAAATAATATTTGGATATACTGGCTTAAATGAAACATAAAATTAATTTCATGTGTTCTTTTCACTATCCAAATATGGCTCCCAGGAAATCTAAAAGCACCTAAATACCTAGAACACTTGTCCTGAACAGGCAATGGAAACCACAGCTACTGTGGACTAGCAACACTTGGGCGCTTGTTAAAAACGCAGATACTCAAAGTCATTTTTTTTTAAAAAACAAATGTGGACCATCAGGCCCGGATCCAGAATCAGCATCTGCACCTCCTCACGACCCCAGCTGGGATCATCTTTCGCATGGTTCAAGTATCCCGCTGGACAGCGCAATGAAGCGGGCAATTCCTGACCCCAAGGCCACACCGCTGAGAACTCCCACCCTCGGCTTAGGAAACTGCTCACCGGAAAGGCAAGGGGAGGGTGAGGAGTGACAGGGGAGTAGTAACAGAGAAGGCACCGGGAACAGTTACAGGGAGAAGCGGCTGGGGTTGCGGGCGTCAACCCAGGCGCGAAGCGGTTCCAGACCTCGGCCCGCATAAACGCGGAGGGTCCGGCACCGTCCCCCGACTCTGGGATCACACGGCCCGCCCCCCGCCCCCCAGCGGCCTCAGCCGAGCTAGGCCTGAGGTGCAGCAGCAGCAGCAGCTCTGAGGTCGGCTTGGGGTGCGAAGCACCCACCCCCCACCCCACCCACCCCCAGGGCTAGACGGTCCCTCCAAGCGCTTCTCCATCTCTCGCCCCAAGTCCCATTTCCCGAGGCACACAACGCTCTTTCCTAGCTCACCTGCCTCCGAGCACCCTCAACCGCCAGCGCCTCCGCCGCCGCCGCCGCCGCCACCTTCCCAGTCCTTCTGCAGAGAGCCCGCCTTCCCGGGCCCAAACAGTACTGCCATTGGCCAGAATGCCCGTCATAGCGCAGGACGACGGATCTGGGGGAGGCTGTGACGAACGCCATAGCAACCGAACCCGGAACTACAATTCCCGGCATGCTCCTCTCCTTGGAGAGGCCAGGCACCACCCTAGGGACTACCAATAAAGGGGAGAAGTTGGGTGTTGCCGAGATGGGTTCCGTTTTATGCAAATTACAGTAAGAGGCCACACCCTTCCTCATTCCAACCGTACCCCCTACCATCTTCCCTCAGTCTTTGTCTCGCCTCGACTTTCGTCTCCATGTTCTTTCTGCAAAACCTTCAATTTAGTTGGATGTATCCTAGGCTACTGTCGCGCACAGAAAAGAGCAAAGCCACCACACCGTGAAACAAAATCTCCACACGCACAGACCAGAAACCTCTAGTTACGCCTTCTTGGGAAGAGACAAGGGAGGAGGAAAAAAAAAAAAAGCGCTCTCTGAACCACTTGATTGGTTGATCTGGCTGCCACTCTGTACATCTCTTTTTCCCTTGGCTCTTCCCACTTCTTGCCCACCCAATAGGCGTGGTCATGTGTAGGGGCGGAGAGGAGGCGTGGTCTCCGACGCCCGATTGGCAGGCGGTTGTCCCCGCCCACCTGTGGGCGGGGCGGAGGGCTGCCTGTGGGCGGGGACCGGGCTGGGCGGGCGGGGCGGGGAAGGCGGCGGAGGGAGATGAGGAGATAGGCGGGAGCGAGGGAGCAAAGGAGCGAAGGAGGGCGAGGAGACTGGAGCGGCGCGGGGAGGGCGCGCAGCTTGGTTGCTCCGTAGTACGGCGGCTCGCAAGGGAGCATCCCCGAGCGGGCTCC